GTTTTACGTGGCCTGAAACTAGAATGGTTGAAGTATTGACGGGAAGACGATGTGCAGCTTCATTAAGCATACATACCAGGATGTCTGAAGTCATGTAATCTATCGTGTTCAAAATGTTTTTGGGGGGGTTTCTATACTATATTTTTGACGCCATGCAATACTGAGGCACAGTGAATATCCCAGAGCCAAAAATGACGTCGAAAAGCCTTATGCAAGCTCCCACTAGACAATTATTGGCCCGGATAAATCGTGACAATTATCAGTAATCATTGAATTTGTCTTCTTTCCCCGCCAACTTTGCTTCTTATTTTCACGACAATCACAGAAGAGACTCTCGAAAATAAATTTTGATATATTCATTATGACATTGAACTCAATATGGCATCGATTACTCAGTCTCACGATTATGAGAAGCTCGATTTCAACGAAAATCCATTCAAACCCTGGGCTGTAGTAGGAGGTTTAGCACGAATCATCAAGCAAATAATCGTGTTACCCTAATTCCATGAGTTTGAGAGTGGGAGAGGATCAGCAGATTACGCAAAATTAGCCTTCTTTAGTCTTTACTTTAATTTTAATACAATAATAGACAGAATGACTCTGGAGAGCTTGCAGACCCTATCCGAATTCGTTATTTTTTCAGGAGCGATGAAATCAAAGAAAGTCTTCTGTGGAAGGATCTGATTGTTGATAGTTGAAGAAAAGCTCATCTCTCTCAAGGATCTGTAATTATCAGCCTCTCACACTTGTAAAAGCTTTAGTTAATGGATGTTGGTCGAGGTAGGCACGCATGGAAGGAGCAACAATCAAGCGATTGTGGTGTCACGTGTCATGATTAATACCCCGCAATATTGGTCAATACCCCGCAGTCCACAACAATACTCGAGTACTTCTTCATTACCGGACTTTCTATCTTCGTGTTACCTTCAAATCTCTTCTATTGCTCACTTCTTTTTTCTATCTCTCAGAAACTCTCATCGGAAACCTGTCTACCTGTCTACCTGTTTACCATTCTCCGATACTTCCATCGTATAACACCATTTTCCCGCCATGTCTTTCCTTGGAACTATCCGCATAAACTTTCATCATACCATCACAAGAAACATTCGTGGAAATCAAACTTTTGTTTATGAAATCATCATCAAATCCAAGACCTTTTGCGCCTTCATAGCCTAGCTCAGTTGCGACCCAGCCAGGCATCATAACAAAGGCATTCAGCCAGTCGTCCTCAGCATTAATTCGAACAGTGAGCCAATTAATAGCAGCCTTTGAGGGACCATATGCAGCATTTCTGATTGGAATTTGGTGTCTATAGAAAGTTTAAAGCCAGGCATTTAATATTATGGAAGGAATGTATTTGTGCTTACGCAATTGCCCCGGCCGAAGAGCCCATGGGTGTGAAAATGGGATTCTTTGATTTCTGCAGCAAATTTCGTGTTGCTTGGTATATTGATATACAGCCATAGACATTCGGTTCTATGTGGGCTTTCAGGTCCGATATTTTAAGATCAGCCACTGTTGGCCAAACATAAGAAACGCCTGCGTTGGCAATAACGATATCAATATTTTGGATGCCGTGCTTATCCTGGAGTTCTCGGACGGCATCAAATGCATCTTGTTCGATCGAGGCGTCAATTTTGACGATAATCACTGTCAATTGTTAGACTTATTCTTAATCTTTGAAGTTTGAAGTCATTTAGAAACTGATCAGGAAGTCCTGTGTTGTGCCTCTTCATTGCAAGTCGAAACCAGTGGTAGGCAAATCAACTATACTCACGACTAGTTCCAGATCCTCTAGGAAGATCAGCGAGCCTTTTCGAACTCTCGTGGGATGGATCACGATTTGCCGCAATCACAAGGTGATTTGGTAATGCTAAGTAGCGTTCTAAAAGTCCTTTACCTAAGCCCCGATTTGCACCAGTTATCAAAACTATAGTTGGTGACATTGTGAGGTAGTAAAGTCCTAGGTATAAGTCAATTTATTGTATTGAAGAAGTAATAGGACTTTGATGGTTGAATGTACTTCATTTTTGATGGGAGTGTATGTGAAAATCTTATACAGTGAGAAATTTATCACAGATGATAGATTTCTTCCGCATTACGGATATATTGATTGTAAATCAAGAAAATATAAATCCACTCTAGATGATTTATCTGGTGAGCTATTGGACGACAAAACCAATGACAGAAGTGAGACCATGAATTTTTCTCAAGAACGTCTGACGAGCAGGTTAACATTCCGACGAGACGACGGACATTTGTATTTCAGGGGTCCAGGGGTGGAACGACCAATCATCAGCCGCGCATCGATCAATATTCTGAATGAACCCTTCACAATTATGTTTGATTCCTTTTAATTGATTTAATAACACATCCTATTTTTGAATTTAACAGCTTTCCACTCATCTTTATACAAGCCGTCCTGGAGGTTCTAAGATAATAGTTTTATCTTTCACCTATAATTGTCGTCGCATATCCCATTCAGCCCTCGTCAAATTCAATTGGGACTAGGTCATGCATTCACACCCTCCCCAACGTCACATGCCAAGTTTTCTTTTCAGCCTCATCATTGGCAATCATGGATCTATGGAGTCATGAAAGATGTAGATCATTTAAGCTTTTCATGAAAATAGTTCCATCTAGATATATGCCGCGGAGATCTCATGCATTCTTTGCTGACTCTTAAAATCTAGTTCTGGAGACTGCTGGAAATTTCGATGCCAGAGCGGTTCAAAGACATTGTACATAATCTACATACGTTAACCTTATACACGAGTCAAGTGTGGGATCACGCGCCAACCTCCACGAAAATTATTTCTTTTTCCGTGCTTAACACTTGAAGAACTCAGGATAATCACCCGTCTCTTTGCGTCACATGAGTAGCCACTGAGTAGTACTACATAATAGAATCGTGATTTTCGTTCATATGTCTCATATTTAAGCATCTAATCATTTCAAGCGATAAATATTTCAATCTATTGTCCTATTGGCAATCAATTCCGAGCCAATATCTCGGAATCAACAGAGGTATAAGTAGGAACGTCGAGACGTGAAAGAAGTTTATTTTTCCGATTTTCCTGACATTTCAGAAAACTCTCTTCCACAATTAAAAGATTACTTTACAAAATGAGATTTTTTCTCAAAGTCATCGTCGCATTTTTCGGTGCATTAGCTACTGCTAATCCTCTTATTCCCGTTCTTCCATCGAGGGATACCTCCGTTACTCATTCATCATCTGTTATCCCCAGTTACACAGTCCTCAACAATTACTGTGAAGCCGCGGGCCCTAATGCTGTAAGTCAATTGGTCTTCCTTCATATTCGTTTGCATCTTAAGCCAGAACCAGTCGTCATATTTCATCAAAATCGCTAGCCCATAGTTCCTTGCCATAGTTTACTTGATACCTGGATATGAACCGCACTTACTAACTTTTTTCTAGTACGTCGGAGTTCAATATGATAACGGTGTAATAACCTCCTATAATTATGGTGATTGTTATTCCTACGTTGTAAATGGCAGTACCGCATTGGCAGCCGTTTTCTGCAAAAGTGTCATCTGCACAAACTGCTCGTATGTATCACGATTTTTGTTTCCTCACTTCCCGTCTCTCGTGCTGTCATTTTGATAGCTCGAATTAAATGCCCACCATCCTAGATTCTCCATTCTCCAAGCTTTATCTAACGATATACTAACATTCTTGAAATAGTGGCGACGATTGTACCGACCCCAATATTGTTCTCACAGTTCCAAGGAGTTTAGTTTTGGTCAATCCAGCGGGAGTTGTAACGACAGTGTTGGGAAAAGGCGCGATTTGTCAAAAACTTCCGCTTGACTTGCCGGTTTAATCCTCAGATGAGCCAAAGCTTTTCATTGAGAACAATTGATAAGGTGCTGAGTTGATTACGGTATATGGAAGATGGTTGCTAAATATCTGGGGGGGGGCATTCACCTTTGTTAGTATGGGAAAAGGCTTCAGAGTTTCAGAAAATGAATGTTGGTCGTCATTGAAGAAACTCATACCCGCCAAAGTGCCTTTCGATTGGAATCCCATGCTAGTTCATATATTTACCCCTTCAGTTACTCTGCTTCGATATTCTGAAATTTGCGTTTCCACACGAGAGTCCTCGTTTAATTCATCTGTCTAAGAATTGTGATCGAATCCTCGTTCAAGCGCCATGTTCTAGTGACAAATGGCATGTGCAAGCCGAAATATTTTATCTATGTCAATGCCATGAAGCGGCTTGTAGCAAATAAAGTTTAGATGTCTAACACGTTTCTCATCATTGCACCAATTATCGAGATTACAGGACTCGGGAATCTTTGTACTCGCTCGTAACATTGCTCCAGATCGTCCTTGAAGACTTACGATCAATCAATTGTGATATCTACCGGCGTGGCCGAACACTAACTATACCGATCTAAATCATCCATTCACGTTTTCGCTTCTCTCTATGGCTATCTGTGTTACGATCTTACTCTCAGCTATTTATTTTTGGTTCACTTTATACCAAATTACCGTTACCAAATTTTGTCTCGAGAAATGTCAGGCGTAGAAATGTTTTTCCAAGACGGGAGACTGTGTCTACATAATGAATGTACGAACAACTTTTGGGGGCAATTTGAGATGTTTTAGGCTTTTCTTACTTTATTTTTCACGATTGTCTTCAAAAATATCAGATATCAATTGGATATATCAACTCCCAGTCTACCGCTTCACTGCCAGCTCGATCAATATTTCATTCTGTCAGGATTTGATTCGACATTCTTATAAGCAATTGTTACAGACTTGGCAACATAGCTTTACCACAAAAATCAGTATGTTCAAGGTCCCTTTAATGAGTTGTTTGAAGAGGTATAAATACTTGCTATCACCCCCTCACAAAATGTCAATCCCATCCCATCATAAAATACACATAACATCTCATCCCTCCCATCCAATCCTAAATCTCAAACTTCTCATTCGTTGACTCCTGATTATAATTCATAAAAAAAAATAAAAAATGAAGATCACCACTCCCCTCACAAGTCTCCTCCTCAGTTTCGCAAGCTACACGACCATCAATGCTCAAACAGCAGCCGACACAATAAATTCATGTCAAAACCAGAATGTCAACAATGTAATAAGATTTCTTCCCTATACACTCCCCATCCTCACAATATCCTCCATCTCATCATCTAAACTATAAATATACTATTCCCACCAAACCATCACATCTCAAATGAACCCCCCCCGGAACATTATCCAAAAACTAACCATCTCAAAGTTCATCTTCGCAAGCTACGACGGCGACCTCGCAGCAACCTACGCATATTCCCTTTGTTTCCCATTCGAAATCTTCGGAAATGCGCTCGATTCCGCTCTTTTCTGTCGCGATGCACATTGTTCTTTTTATAGGTAATTCATTCCTTCCTTCCTTCTTTTCATTGTCTTGATGTGCGGAAGACGAAAATAACCTCTCCAAATTCAATTAGCGACGATGACTGTACAACACCCTCGGCTTTCTCAATTACTCCTATTCCTTTCATTCAAAACCAAGGTCTTCCTACCAAGGTAACTGCGAGCTTGGGGTGGAAGAGCGCAAAATGTGGAAGTAGTTTGGTGGGGTTTACTTTGGGTCAGTAAGATACCTATTCGGGATTTATTTCGGAGTTGGGTCTTGGGAAAGGAGGGGAGGGGGGGCATACCCTTTTTTTATATACAATTTTTAGTGGTCCTTTTGCTGCGTTGTAATTGATTATGAATTTCCATTATTTAAATTTGCCACTCCATTGTAATCTACTCGCGACACTATGGTGTTGTCATCGGAACCAATACAAGGCATTCGAGCTATCATTTTATCCCCGGATCCAGACGGAGTCTATGGAATTTTGGCAGTGAGACATATAACCGAAACTGAACAAATTATCAACTAATTACATAGTGATTCTGAAGTTGCTTCCATGGTGCCTGTATAACGCATTATGATTGCTTAAAATCAAGAAGGGGTATCATCAAACGTTTTGAAGAACTTGTCGAACTTTCTTCACGTTGTAATTCTGGGCTGTACACTGATATAATCCAATGCGAGATGTAAGATAACAATTCATTCTCGTTAATCACTTATTTGAGAAAAGTACACCGGGTATCGTAATATGATCCTTACTGCCCTACTAAAGCATTTAGGTCTTTCCAAAGATCGATGCCATGATTATTCCACCCATAACGCAACGACCAAACTAGAAAATAGACCCTAAATGATTATAGACTCCGCATAGAAATGCATCAAGTGACCTCAATAAAATCATTTCTCCACAAACATCCCATCACAGAAAAATGCAAACAAAAGCGCCTCCACACCTTCCATGATACCATGCTAAACAGATAATCCAACGCCCCTATGTATGTAAGTATCCTATAATATGCGACGCGCGAAGACAATGTACATATCCATGTCAATACCAATGCTTAAACACAAACCAGCGCATATGTATACCCATATCTAATCCCATACCCATTCCAAACCATAATACTGCCAATACCCATAAGTCGTGATTCTTTCCTAATATCTTCAACGTTGTCTGATACGTTCGTCAAAACCCATCCAATACCTCGTCCCAATCGGAAACCTCTCCATCACCATAATCAGTACTAACAACACTAGCTTCCCTTTGAAACCGTTGCGTCTCGTTCGTGATAGAACTCGCTCCCTTCTGCCTTTCTCTGATTCGTGATGGTGTTTGCATTTCTACCTCCTCAGTATCCATCTCTCGTCTACCCCTCTCGCTAGTCTTTCTCGGTGTGGGTGTGGGAAGAACCGCTTTGTATACTTCATCCCACTCCTTACTTTCAGCAAGCGCAGCTTTCAGCTGCCCATCTACTTCAGGTTCAAGGTCATCATCAAAGTTATGTCTATTAGATGAAGTCGCCTCTTTAATTTCATCCCATGCTTTCTTACTCTCTGCTAAAGCAGCAGCCTCCAAATCTTCTGGTTTCTCGGTGAAAAATCTCTTTTTAGTAAACTTGTCTTCTGGTTTTTCCTTAAACCAAGGTGATCTTTTTGGTTTGGGCGTAAGTTCCATATCTGGGTCAACTTGTGGAGTACTTGGTTCAGCTGACTGGCTTTGCAATCTTACCGGCCGGCCTTGATGGTGACTAAAAGGGGATATTTGAGCTTGTGGTAACTGCGAGGGACCTGCCACCGGTGATTTGGCTTTTGACAAATTCTCCAGTCCAGCGAGTTCTTGACTGGAAAAAAGTGAATCCTGGCTACAAATAAAGCTTTGTAGATCTTCTATTCCTGCCGATATCTCTTTGTGAGATTCAATGGAGTATTCCCTTTCATTTCCTTTTTGAGGCGTTGAATCAGAAATTTCCCAATCCTGCGAAAACATTTTAAGTTCCTGCGTAGATAACATGCCTCCGAATTCATCATCAAAAGTTGTAGAAACATTGTCCTTCACATCTCCTTGTTTTTCTTCATCCCGCTTGTGATCCAAATTCCTACCCGAGACTGCAAAAGATTGAGGTGCAGTGAATTTTTCACATAGTTCTCTAGCTTCTTGAGTTGCACTAGGAAAAAAGTCATCAAGATGAGATTCAAGAAATGCTTGTGTGGAAGGTGGAAGACTATAATCGTCGGTTGTTTTCCTGGTATTGACCGAAGCAACAGGGGAAGTTTTAAGTTTGCTTTTCTGGGGAAGAGCTGGGGGACCCATGTTGATAGATTTTTCCTGGAGTGCGGGGCGTATATAACTTTTGGATGTAGAGGGTTGAATAGGTGATTTTTGTGCCGGTTCTCGTTTACCATGATGAACTTCGGGCACAAGAGAGTGAACGGCTTCCTCTCGCGGGCCCTGCTGACCCAAACCGGTTGTTCGAGACACTGAACTCTCAGATGCAATGACAGTAGCATTCTTCGACATAGTTCGAGCAGTATCTGATGATATCTTCGCGCGGGGTTGGTTTCTATCCAACGGCCTGGAATTGAGGCGTGTATTTGTTCCTAGTACTGAAACTGCACGTTCATTTATATTGGATGGTGGATTTTGTAGACGATCATGAGAAACTGTGCGTGAGTGTGAGTTGTTTAGTTTTTCGTGCGTCGTGTTTGTAGCTGAAACCCTAGGAAGACGTGGTGGTGATATGGTATGTATGGATTGAGAAGTTGATATATTTCTACCATGAATAGGCGCATGCCAAAGAAGTTCTTTTTCCTCCGCAAAATCCTTTACAAGCCTGTTTGATGTGGGAGTTGTCGCTTTTGTCTCCTCTCTACAGATCTCTTTGTCAGTTGATACTGCTTGTTTACTATCTGACTTGCAAGCTGCATCTGCTGCTTCGGAACGGATTTGAGAATCAAGCATATTCTCCAACTCAAATGCGTCATCGGGCGACATTTGCTCTCTTTCAAAATTCTTCATCCGTGGTAACTCTTGCTCATCATTGAAAGGAATGGTAGGATTTTGAAACGGGGGTCTTGTCAGACCTGCAGATCTGGCTCTACCTAGATTCGCATTTTTTGGCGTGGAATGCATGGAACCTGTGTCCAACAATGAAATATCGTTTTCTGACAAGGGCGGAAAGTCTCCAAATTCGTCCTCGGAATCTTCTGGTAGTATTGGTGACCTCGGAATGACTATTTTCTCACCCCTCTTTTTGTTTGCAGGTTGTTCCTTCTGGTTTTCATCTTCAAGTTCGAAATTGCGACGCGTGATGTGTTTCGACAAGACCTTATCCTCATTTTCATCCTTTTCCTCGTCCCCGTCCCCGTCCCCATCCTCGTCCTCCTCGGAAATTTGCGCAACTCGTTTTGCGGGCGGTTCGTCATCCAAATCGTCGCATATAGTACCCTCAGATTCTTCACCTGGATTCAATATCTCCCGAAATCTCTTGGTCCCCTGCTTCAAAAACAAAGAAATCCTGGATTGACTTGGGCGAACATGTCTGCTGGGTTCCGGTATCCCCTGTCTCTTCCTTTCTTCTTTTTGTTCTAATGCTTTTGCAGCTTTCTTATCTCTCGCCGCTTTTGCTTTCGCAGCTGCTTGTTCCTTTTCATATGCTTTCCTGTGCTTCGCCAGTTCTTCGGCATCTCGTCGCTTTTGTTCCGCTTTCGTTATTCGTGGCGTTCGGTTTGCTTTTTGATATGCTTTTTTTGCTTGCTTACTGGTCATTGGTCGATGGACTTTTGGCGCATCCACCAATTCGAAAGTGCGTTGTTTGCTCGGCATTTTGAAGAGTTGTTGTGTTACATATTGCAAATTGCAGGAATGTATAAATGAAAGATTGATGATGGACGTCGTTCGAGGCCGAGGTTGGACGTTGGAAGTGAGATATTCAAGCGATCTATAATTAGTCGATGACACGACGCGTTGACCGTGTTGACGCGGGGTCTATTACTAAGGCAGATAACACCAAGTCACGAGACCTTGGACTAGACATCGCGTACAATATCCCGAGAGCTATGATAAGAACCATTAGATGCTTTTGGGGTCAGATTCCGAGGCATATATTCCGTACGGTACTTTTCACACCTATTGCACAATGGTTCGCTATATCCAGCTATCTTCACCCGAGCATACATACAAATCAGATCATGATATCCTCATTAAATAGGCTGATATGCATCCTAGCCTTCATTCCCGCACCTATCTCAACAATTAATAAGTTCTTGAGGATCACTATTTTTGAATTGGGCCTTCAGGAGATACCGTTTGCAAACGCCATACTCAACTGGGCATTTATCTCTTCGGCGTGTCTCTTGCTCCAGAGTAAGCTAAATGGATACCTACTAAATGAATTGCTTCGAGTGGTTCTCACAGGTAGGAGTATGTTTTCAGTTTATACTTCAAGAAGCAAGATTGCAGTCTGTAAAGTTACCTGATGAATATCAAACCTTTCAGTGCGGGGTAGATTTCTCAGACCATCTAGACATTTTGAAGATGCAGAACTCGGAGAACTCGATCAAAATGTGACTTGTATTTCGTTCGCAACTGGAATAGAACATAGAAAGAAATCTGTTTACGCCGGCTCATTGTTTTTTCTTAATGTCTGCATAAGAACCCAGAAAGAATCCTGGTAATAGAGTGGCTCAAGAGTGGGTACGCAGGTCAGCAGTGCTGGCCAGCACCCGGTCACTAACCGTTGGAAATTTTGATCTCCTTGCACCCGGTGTTGCTTGTATTTTCGGCAAGGCTAAATTGGTGTACGTTAATAAGACCCCACGACAGCTCCATAAATGCACTATCTGAATATTGCCTGTGTAACCGGCAAATCTTCTACAACACAGGGCTCAAATATCTAAAGCTAATATTCGTTTCGATGGAGTTATTGAAGCACAAAGATACCCTAAACAAGAGACTATTGCTAAAATAAAGATTAGTTCATTTGGTTGGCAGAAACACGCAATTGGCAAGTGAACACTCCTGGTCACAATTACGTTACAAGTTCGTCCCGACAGTTTGGTACCTACCTATCTAGTGCTTTCCCCATTAGTCTTCCCGCATATGTTGAATGGCAGCGGGCCGGGTAAAATGTCTAGGATGATTGAAAGTTGATAGGCATCGCGCAATTCTGTGTCTTGGTAATCACAATGTACGTCGTACCGATTGGATAATGAGCATGTGCCAAGCCTCGGAGATTGGAAAGTGGGTTACTATTAGTGTTCTGGTTAATTATATCAAGTATTTGACAACCTACCTATCCGTACTTGAACCGGTAAATCCACTCCTGTTGCCAAAAAGCATGCAGATCTACCGCTATGAGAACAAGACTACCCCTCATGTAGTTTGCCATCCTGTGGTATATGCATCTATCTAGCTTCGGAGTGACATACTTTCTGGCCGCACAAGTAATGTTCGAGGTGCCAGTGGAGGTCCAATTTCACAAATAAATTCTATGAAGTATCTACCACACCTCTCTGTCGAATCAGCCATGAGCGCCGGGTAAATATAACATTTAATTTTTTGTTTCTCTTATATGCGTATCGGCGGAAATTTGAATCCTTTTCATTGTGTAACCTCCAGTAAGATGTTGCGTTACTCAAAAGGAGACAACGTGCAGGCCGGGGCTTCATATTTATAAGTTAGTCCGAACGATATCCAAGTCCTTGATGCCTCGGTTATATTCAGCACCACTTTATCCTTCTATTTATTTGCAAACTTTTTCTATGAATCTTGATGGCAATCTCACGTACTAGCAGTTTGAGATTCCGCCGTCAAAAAATTGAGTGTTGCTCATGCAATGTAAACAAAATCTGACCCGCACTATGGTGGTGACTCTTCCTTATACCCAACACTTGACAATGTTTCCTCGCTTGGTTCTAATCCTGTCGTACGTATTTTTTTACCTTCACATATTAAGCATGCATTGCTACACTAATCCGAGTATTTCCTTCCGTTACCAGGTTCCAGCACAGCTCGCTCACTATGGTAATCATCGCGCTCATCAACACTCATAGCCGTCGCCATTAAAGTTGTGTCATTTTTAGGGCGTCTTTTTATGGCAGGGGGTGGTAAATCTTTTTTCCCTTCTTCTTCTAGATTATCCAGTCGATATCCTCGACTGGAACGCCTACCCGTACTTGATAATGAACCTCTCAAGACTTTGTAAAGTGGTCGGTAAGTGGGTATTGTTGCAGTGAGAATCGTAATCATTAGTTCGGTAGATGACCATAATATTAAACCTATGGTTTCATCTAAAAGAGACTGTTAATCCTTCAGTTTTGGATAATTGGCTACGGAGATTTACTCACAGGAATAATCAGACCTTGATGAGAGGCCGTTCAGGTTCACTGTTCTAATCACACCACACACCATAGCACTAATTGATTGTAAGTTTATGACTACGGTTTGTGCCAGCGAGGAGACCTACAAAATTCCCAAACTCATGGATGATGTGATAAGAACTTTCTCCTTCTTCTTCATATTCAACTTCCAAAGTATGATCCATGGTAGCGCAGCGAGAATGAAATCTGCTGCTGCGGAGGTGCCTCTGAGGTATTAGCCAATTTTTCGGGAAAATCTGGAATCATGCCACTCACCTCCCACAGTGATTGAGATGGCAGTAAATTGTTCTGTGGAGACCCAACACTTGGCAGGAATATATGGGTTCCAAACATGAGCTATCGGATCACACCGAATGAAGTCGAACAGAGCGCAAATGACGGCGATACCAGTGACCGCAAACATGGTAATGTAGAGAATCCATTTGTGCCATTCGACAACGGCAAGTCTCAGCAAAAACACCGATGCTGAAGCTTTGCTAGTGGCTATACCGATGATACAGAACCTAAAATGTATCTTAGATGTATTATGTGTATTATAGGAAAGAGGTGACAGTGTACGTTTGACCAATAATCTCCGATCGAGTGGCATTTGCGAAAGCCTCGATGGTGAGATCCGTAGAATGTTGACCGAACCCTTGAGTTGTAGCTGCCGTGCAGGCCACTGTGTATGGCATCAACATAAACTAAATATCCATTATCAGTACCGAGAACAAGGAGTCATTCGAGAACCTCAACTCACCCAGCTGACTATGATAAGATAATTATCAAAGCCCACGTTTCGCGTGATGAATCCTTTCGTGTAGAGTCTGAGACCGATTGCGATCAGAGCTATAACAGTCTCTGTCCACATGACCGCAACAATAGTTGGCCCTTTACCGGCTATGGTCATTTTGACTGGGAGAGAAGAGTAATTTAGCTGAGTTGATTCCAAAGTAGGGCTCTCTTATAAGGTATATAGAGAAACATAATGCGTATTTTCATATTGAAAACACTTGATACTCGAGCCCAACATAAGTCCGAGTTATGCTTTGCAATCAAGAACCATGGCTTTATAAAAATCGGTTGGTAATTTCTACAGTGGTATAATTGAACAATAAATAATTCGGCTTGTTGACCATGGGCCCCAGATACTGATTATTAACCCTCAATTCCTCGGTAAGAAATCAAGTTTAATATCAACGCCATTTGAAGCTGACATTAATGCCATTTGGTAGATCTCCTCTCGAACCTCTTAAAAATCTGAACGTATTCAGAGTATATGGTCAAAAACTGCTGCATCATTTCATCCATAACATGGGACCAGGCTCACTTTAATTGATCCGCAGGATGATGTTGCATCGTTTAATCCTCCCTCTACATAAGCAAAAAAACAGGCGGGAATTGACTACTATTCGAAAGACCTTTAATAACTAACATCTATTTTCGATATAATATTAAATAATAAAAACACTTAGAATCAATACAAAGAAGACTCAAATTTTCGTTTGCTTTTTTCAAATTTCAATATTTAATTTGAAATGAATTTATAATCTATTAAAAAAGTCCTTTGAAAGGTACTCAATTTCCGCCTGTTTTTTCGCTTACGTAGAGCCTCCCCTGCCACATCCTTGCATCGGTAAAACTTTTTAGTGTCGCCTTTTTGAGCTGGCGAATAATGTGAGGGAATTAATCTACAGGCATATCCGGATTTCAAAGCTTATTGTATGGGTAATGTGGGTTACCAACAGTTAGTGGAGACTGCTGCATATCTATAATCTATGCAACACTGCAAGTCTGCCAGGGGTACTTCCGATTATGCTCCCTCTACGTAAGCAAAAAAACAGGCGGGAATTGACCACCATTCGAAAGACCTTCAACAACTAGGATCTCTTTTCAATATAATATTAAATAATAAAAACACTTGATCTCAATACAAAGAAGACTCAAATTTTCGTTTTCTTTTTTCAAATTTCAATATTTAGTTTGAAATGAATTTATAATCTATTAAAAAAGACTTTTGAAAGAGTACTCAATTTCCGCCTGTTTTTTCGCTTACGTAGAGGCTCCCATTCATCACATCTTGATTGTGACAATAACTGCCTATACAATGTTTTGCTTGTTTACCTTTGTATAAAACCCGACCCTTCATCACAGATAATAGCCCCGCATTTGCCTTTCTTCAATTTCTTATTTTCTTCATCGCTATATCATGGCGCCAGGCATGTCCATCTTGCAGGTAATTCTCTCAAGTGTCTTCATTTTCGGGTTCTATTTAGCTTGGTATTACTTCAAGTCTCCCCTTAAAAGCATCCCCGGGCCATTTCTAGCGAAATTTACGAATTTCTGGCGCTTGATTGAAACCTATAATGGCCGAGCAGAGCTCACGCACAAATTCCTTCACGAAAAATATGGACAAGCTGTACGAATCGGCCCAAACCTTGTCAGCCTCAATGATCCAGATCTTGTTCGCACTATTTACAGCCTCAAGGGGGATTTCCTCAAGGTATGATTAGGCTCTATGATAAATCAGCTTTATCATGGTTCTTGAAATCTTTTCCCTCTGTTGCTAACGGGTAGACAGAGCGACTTCTACACGGTTAATGATAGCAAAGTAGGCAACATAACCATCAAAACCGTCTTTGGTATTCAAACAAACGAGATGCACAGTCAGATGCTACGGCCGGTTCAAAAGCTGTATAAGATGGGTCATATATTGACACTTGAGCCACTAGTAGATAACACCATCAATCATCTTTTCAGACGCCTCGATGAGTTGTTTGTCGATGCTTCTAACGCAGGGACAACTTGTAAAATAGATGAGTGGATGGTGTTTTTTGCATGGGATGTTATCGGCCAATTCACCTTCAGTAGATCGATGGGCTTTCTGGACGCTGCCTGCGATCATTCGGGTTATCTCGACGTATCAAACCAGATCAACGACTACTTTTGCGTAATTGGACAACTTCCTGCTCTGGACCATTGGCTTGCAAAAAATCCAGTGTGGCCTATTGGACCGTTGACTGTTGACAAAGCTGCAGCATATTGCGCCGAGCAATCCATTGCACGTCAAAAAGGTACAGATGAAAAATCTGTTGATCAGAAAGATATGCTCGATGATTTTCTAGAGCTCAAACGTTTAAATCCAGGGATGATAGATGATAACACAGTCATTGGCTATATGTTAGTAAACATTCTTGCTGGTGCTGATACCACTTCGATCGCTTTTCGAGCAATCATCTACTTCACCCTCAAAAATCCACGGGTATACAAAAAGCTCCAGCAGGAGATAGACAATGCCAATCTGTCTTTGCCTGTAGCTTATAAAGACGCAGCGAAACTACCATATCTTGAAGCCGTAGTCAGGGAATCCAGCCGCTATTTTGCAGGTGTAGGTCTCCTACTTGAGCGTGTCGTTCCCGCAAGTGGCCTCACCCTTTCCGATGGTACTTTCTTACCCCCAGGAACAAACGTGGGCATGGGTCCCTGGACCGTTCACCAAAGTAAGAAGGTATTTGGTGAAGATGCTGGATCCTTTGTTCCAGAACGTTGGCTTCGATATGAGGATCTTGAGACTCAAGAAGAGTATGAATCCCGCCGCGCTGCAATGAGACAAGCAGATCTCAGCTTTGGTGCTGGCAAAAGAATTTGTCTCGGGAGAAATGTCAGTATCCTTGAGATATACAAACTGATTCCTTCGTTATTTTTGACCTATGACGTAAGTTTATCCACCCATACTTTTTCTTCACTCAGTGACACTGACTGTAACACAAGATTTCTCTCGTGGACCCTCAAAAGGAATGGAATGTTCAGAATTCATGGTTTGTAAGACAAACTGATATTGACGTAAGGATCCAAAAACGAAAGTTTGCAGCAGTCTAGTTTTAGCCCTGTGAGTTGTGTGAATAACAAATTTAAATATAATGCAATTAAAGATATTAAAATTATGTGAAGGGTTAAAAGTACAATATCATGCATTAAGAAAAGGCGCTCACCTTATCCATTGAGAAAAGTTTTACATACCAATATTAGACAGTCACTTTTCACAAAGGACTCTGCAATTCACAGCAGCAGTATTTGACTGAATTGAATCATTGATATTCCTACAGTACCATGAATATTAATCTGGATACTTTCTCAATACTTAAGCTCCGTCACAGACCATTGTCTCGTGACAGCAATCTTCCCTTGACTCATGATCCTGTCAGTGTTCTCATTGCCACGAATTTCCTCACTTTCTTCAACTACTCCTAGTTCTCCACTGTTACCATTTATAGAATTCTTGATACCCAATATATCTTTTCCACTCTCCGTATCATTGTTTGCACTATTCAAACGGCGCATACGGAATGATTCTTTGTGGAAAGAGAACTTGGAACCTCCACGGTTGGTCTTGTAACTATTAAAGTAAGATGCGATTCGGTGGTTGAGAATGATTTCGAGAAGAGGTATGAGCGTTGGGATACATGCAGCGATGATAATCAAATTGATCTCGTATCTGCCACGTTGATCCAGTTAGCTTATATTGTGCACAGATAGGTCACTTGTAAATTGATACAAAGAGCTTGATGCGAAAAACTTACGCGTTCCATACAAATAGCCACACGGTAGCCCCTGAAGAACAAAGTCAGTTTTGAGACCGTGAGGGAGATAATTTACTTGCATGTAATATCAGAGTGATTGGCATCATTTTTGAGTTCAACAATCTTGATAACGGCGAATCCAAAGGCACTGGTTTTTAATTTTAGCAACATTAAGATTACGAAGAGCTCAACAACAGAAGATTTACGAAACACCAGTGCTAAGTAAAATACAAATGGCCACCTTCTTCCTTTTATTCATCTGCAACTTCCATATCATATGAACTGGTACAATTGCTAGAACTAAATCAATGAACGCCATATAACCTAAAGTCTCATCAGTAGGTATCAAGGTATCAATGAGAGGAAATAATTGCTTGAAGCAGATTGCGACATAATTGATACAACATTAGATTTGATGCAATGATCATTAGGCGCCGATGCTGGGTTCCAAAGCATTCTGACAGGCGTACATTGCCCAAACATGAGAATCACAGCTATACTGTTCATAGTTACCATAACAGATAGGAGGCTGATGAGAAGCTTCGTTCTCCATGGTGTTGGGTATTGAAGCCGCAAGATCAGACAAGCAACCGATATTTTGCAAGTCGTGAGACCGGAGACGCAAAGTGGCTGTGAAATCCAGTTCAATCTTGTTGTAGTGATGAGTTGTGCCGTAGTCAAAGTAGATGCATGTCGACAGCCACCATTTTTGGCATAAATTGTCCAGACAACACTCATTGCTGTCGTGGATGCCTGTTCATAACTGTGAGCTCGAAACCCCTACCACAGGAAAGATACGGATTGTCCATACTACAGCAGCCAAAATGAGCCAGTCATCCCACCAAGTGCTTCGGATCAGTCTCATGCGACAAAAGAACCGGAGAGCGACGAAAACAATGGCAAATGCCGTCCAAACCCAAGTCGAGATCAATAAGAGAGGAGCTCGATCAGCTGTTGAAGCATCAAGGGGTTTTGAACTCGAGCTCATCTTCAAGCTAGAATTCGAGTCTTTATTAAAATGAAGCGGATTCTAAAGCAAAACTGATGTGGTGAGAACGGCTCAGCGTCGAGAAGATGGGCTAGAAAAACAATAAAGCGATCGAGTAAATTATTCTATGTAATGGAGGCTTAGTCTCATTGTTATATTATTATGAGAACACAATCCTGAGCAAATCTCTTACCTCGTGGTAATAAATTCTTGCACTATCAAATCACAAACGTCAAGATAGACATGGGAAATTTCTGACATCCTGAGCCCCCGAAAATCCGGATGCAACGGGGAAGCAGATTTTAGTACCGGTTAGAAGCCCTCAGATTGCGATCCACTAGGCTACCGAACTGCTGGGAGAACCGAAGAGGAAGGTAAGTGTCGCTTATGATATTGGTTCCCTATAGCATATTCAAATTAGTAATGCTGACCATTTGGAGCTGGTGGTTTAAATTAATGTAGAAAGAAAAGCATACGTATTAAATCTCCGCTCCAATTTCAGATTACTATATCGTGGGGTTACTGCGTTGAGATGACAGCCAAGTATCCAGAGACTTACATGTGATAATCCATGAGGTGTTGCAATGGTATCATGAGCAGATTCTCGAGAAGTGATGCAGTACTTTATCCACATTATCAGTGTTGGAATTTGATAAACCTGGCATGCCAATCCCAGACCCCAGTAGAATTCAGGGACGGGGTTACTACTGTGTAACGGCGGACCATGGATGTTTCCTCGTTTATGCTTGACATTAACTCTCTAGATTATCATGTAGCGTTGTCTGTGCCGTATAAGGTCACGGCCCGTGCATCATTTAGTTGACGGGTATGAACATCCGACAGATTATCAGCAATATGGTCACTGTACGTTGACAGGTGCATCAAAGAACAATCATGGAGATGAGGGATGGAATCTGGATAAAATCACTAGAAAGTACCTAGGTGATTGAAATAGAATCTAAATGGTCCTAAAAATCTCAAAGAATAAGTTTGAAGGATACTAGTAGCATTACTCGTTCGCTTAAGATTTTGTGACAGTCAGCATCAGTCCAACAGTTCATAAAAAGCTTGATGAAGCATGTTTTAAACCTCTATCAGATCTTTGTATCTGCCTGAAATTAGAACTTTCTAAGAAACTCCTCATCTTTCAAACAAAAGACCTCAAACTTCACCAGAGTATCTGAAATTATCTGCATTCATAGACTTAGACAATCTCACACTCAATAACACTCTCGCTGATGTCATCATCTGCCTTCCAAATTCCACTGATTTTCAACCCCGCGGCAGCAATATATTTCTCGTGCAAAGCCTGTATACATTTCATACCTCCTCCAGTAGCCATCATGTTTAAGTCTTGAGCCGTCATTAATTTTGATGCCCCATCTGCTGGAACAATCCAGTCGTTGATGATCACCTTGGAATATCCTGATTTCATGGCTCTACGGATGTGATTCAGAATTTGGATCATGACGGCTTGTGGCCAGTCATGGGATATATGTCTGAGATAGTATAGACGAGCACATGTAGTCAAAAATTTATTCATTATTGGATATATTACTGTTCACATGGGTTGCGATATTGCTCACCTTTGACAGGTATTTCTGTCATAAAATCATGGACCAAGAATTCCACTCCCGCACTCTCATCTATCAAAAGTTAGAAAATAATTATCGAGTTGGTGATACCACGATATAATAGTAGTCCAATACTCTTGTCATCGACATCATCAACTCCCCCACAACCCCCCAATCCAACCCAACTTCATCATCCCGACCCATCCAACCACCGCAACCACAAAAGCACCACCAACTCTCTCCTCCCACCCCCAATCCAGCATCTCATTCCCATCCCCCAACTTCACCATTTCTTCACCACCCAACCCATTCAAAACACAAATCTCCATTTATTCCACTAGATCCTCCACAATTATTCAGATCTCTCCTGCACGAAACCTCTACAAGCATTGATACCAGCGCTTACCGCAGGATTGAGATTAATCATCAATGATGGATGTTTACCGGTGTGAGAGATAAATTCATTTGGACAGAAACTTATACGGTGAATACTGACTTCAGTATGTATAGCTGAGGACATGAGCTGAGGATCATAAATAGATTGATGGATTTGATGATAAAAGCGCAGTTTGATTCCAAATAACGATATAAAAGCGAATGGGTTTCTTTATTCGGGAATGTTGGTTCGAGGTTCAGAGTGGAGAGTGTAAAAAAAGTGGTGGAATCTAAGATCGCTTTTAAAATCGTGACTTGAAACCCTTGAACCAGTAATAAGACGCGGTAGAAGATTGATCAAATGATCGACAGTACATTAAACTCATCCTCAATGGTTTGAGACTTTTCGCAAATTCAGGAATTTATCACTGGAAGCAAAATTCCCGGTATGATGTTAACGAAACAGAATCTCGGCGCCGAGAATCCCTAAAGCGAGAGATCCGGAAACCGATTGTTCAACTCCCTGCTAGCCACCCCCTCAGCCTCTCCACATAGTCGTTTTTCTTCAGAATCTTGTTCAAGACCTCTTTGCATCGACACCTCGCCTTCTTTCTCCTGCTGTTCCTGTACGCGATTATACGTATAATTATGTGTAAGAATAGCTCTTCGAATTTCCTTAATAATACTATCCATTCTTCTTTCTCGCTCTTCGATATAATATGCCGTATCATCTGCGTCGTACGTTACGGTACATGGACGGCGTCTTGAAAGATACGATCTTTGTTGTCTGATCGATTTTCTATGGCTCTCCTGTCCTCGTAGATATTTCTCGAGCATAGCCCCCCTTTTATCTAGTACTAAAAGTAATTCGGCCCCATCTGCGCCACTCCCTGCACCTGCATCTAATAACATATCCAAAGCTTTCTTCAATGTGCGTTCATCCGAAGGGTCCATACTTGCTCCCAGGAATCTATCGAGATCCCTCAAACAGTTTAAACAGAGAACTATTGTGGTATCCATAGGACCATTTTTCTCCCAAGGTCCGCCTTTAGCATGAACATCAGCACCGGCTTTTAACAAAAGCTCAATGGTCGTAAGAATATCATTACCACGAGGCTTGCATTTGATCCAGAGAGCGAAAGCCCGATGCAGTGGAGTCCAAGTTTGTCTCCAACAGCTAGATAGACTGCCACCTTTCACGGCGATAGTCTTGTGATTTACATCAGGTCCAAAACCCAGAAGCATTTCACAAGCCTGCACATCATTTAACATTGATGCATACTGCAGCGGTGTGTAAGAGTCATGCTCCGCCTCAATATTTGCGCCCGACGCCAATAAAATCTTGATCACTCCCAAATTCCCATTCGCTGAAGCCATCAATAATGGAGTTCCAACACTATCACAAGATCCACGGGATTCAATGTTGGCACCATTTTCTAAGAAATATTCACATAAATCCACATTACCGTTCCTACAGGCGGCATGCAATGCGTTTCCATGCCGAGCGCTCGCATCATCCAGTCTTGCCCCGGCCTGATGCAGTAATTTGCAAATCTCTAATCGGTTTGCAGCAGCAGCAGAAATTAGCGGATAACACCACTCTCCGCCAGAGATGTTTGTATCCATGCCAGTTGCAAGCAGAAGCGTGACGATTCTCTCCGAGAAATACCATCCCGCGGCTGCAGCATGTAAAGGGGTCCCTAATTTGGATACTTTGGATTTATTAGGTGGACTGCTCTTGTATGGTACGTTACTTGATAAGAGTGGGACTAGACTAATCAAGCCATGATAACAAGCCCAAGACAGAGGGCATGGTTCGGGAGTGATGTAGTCCATAGAAGAATTTGTATCGTGCTCTGAGAGTGCTAGCTCGCTTGCTGAGTATGGAAATTCTGGCTTAAAGGATTTGCAGATAATCTGTGATATCTCCCATGCATTTTGATTGTTCAACGAGGCATGGTTAACAGATGTAGCCCAGCTCTCGTTCATCAACAATAATGCCAATTTCTGTGAATTTCTCACGAGATCATGAAGCTCATTGCTATTTACTTCAAGGCGTTGCATATAATAGGTCCAGCATGTCGCTGCGTGAAAAATCAACGGGAAACTTCGATAAATGTCGACTAAATCAGGATATGGATATTTCAAGGATGGCCCAGCATGAAGCAAGTATGCTATACACCGTGCTGCAATTGATTCAAGGCCATTTGCCTCTTGTAGATGGTATTCATTAAAGGGTCCGGTAGACGTGCGGCTTGATTGTAAGAACTCCTGGACGGAATAGTGGGCAAATCGAATGTATGACTCTCCATTCAACATTGGAAGAAAGTATCCTTCATTTTTACTGTAAGTTGTAACAAATGTTGATGGAATAATATCAAGAAGAGTGAAATTGTCACCATCGCAGCTCAATCTATCGTCTTCTCTCAGATAAGGAGGAGACTCAATCTGAACTATCACTGCTTCTGAGAGCTCTGACACCGTCAACGGGCGCGCAGTGTAAGTAATCCATCGCAAGGCAATTTTGACGTAGCAGTGATCTTCCTCAGGTATATTCTTCAGTGCCCTTTCGTAAAATATATCCAGAGAGCTTGGAAGTTGATTCAATCCCTTTCTTATTCCTGACACAGTCCTGTACCGTTTCAATGATTCCAATTGAAGTGCTGCTAACCTGAACATACCATCAGCTTGTCGCGCGACGGATTCCACAACTTCATCCTTGAAATCAGAACTCCACATTGTTTGTCGGAAGCTACTGATGTTTTCATGGAGAAACTTCTTGATGTCTTCGGTAATGATTGGATCTTGAACTCTGATGCTTTGGCAGCTGTCCGAAACATCTCGCTTCCTCATCTCATCTAGATGAAAACGGATATCATCCTCTGCTCTACTTGTGACAAAAATGTGTATAGAATCAATTTTCCATTGATGAATGTCCTTGAGAGCCTCCAGTAATAAATCCCGTTCTGCCTTGGGGTACTCATCCAGAGCATCCACAACCAAATAAACATCTTGAAGGCCGGTCACAACAGACTTGAGGATTTCCATCATTTGTTTGATGGTCGGTTGCTGCTGGCCATGATTGCAATGGGCATATGCATCTTTCAAAGTTTGCGGCGTGTCCCGACGATTGCTACAAATATCTCTAATCCAAGAACGAATTATATTGGAAACGCTCTGTGTAGTCAAGTTGTCGAATTTGATATACCAGTATGTGACAACAACATTTATCTCTTGTTTGCAGAGTTGCTGAATATGTTCAATCACAGTAGAACTGTGAAAATGTTAGATGGCAAGGGAAAGAGAGGTTGTCGAACATGCCATAGAATCGATTTTCCCGCCCCCGCTGATTTTATCGTTAGCTTTGTTCTTTTAGGTAGTAAAGGGTTAAACTAACCGCCTCCATTAAGCCACAAGAACGAATTATTGGTTTTCGACCAGGTGTTGAGATGATTTCCGTCTATTAGCCAAGATCCCGTACCCTCTTAGAACTTTTCTTGGGTGATATTATGTTCTGTAGATGGATCAGGAAGTGATTTTATAAGCCATTTAATTATCTGGCTTCGCTCTTTATCTCTCTAAGCCGCTCTTATTTTATTTTGAATATCCTTTAAGATATTATAATGATACATGGACATATGCCTAATGATATACACACAATCAGATTGGTCCCACAACCAATCCCCCCTCATGAGTGAGACAGAGGGACGGAATGCTAAGTATAAATGCAGGGGGTAGCTTGTGCTCGGAGGAAGGGACGATCTCCTTTAAGACTGTGGGTGGCACTTTGCCCGAATCAATCCCTCAAAGATACGCTGCTCTACTTAATAGTGGAAACCTCTTCATATTGTACCAAAACATAACTTTCTTTCTGAAAATATCCGAAATCTTTCAAACTCGGATGATGCATTGATGATTGCCTCGATCTAAAAACAGAATATTGTTGAGTTTTGGTTATGAATTTTGGTACGTAATGACGGAGCGCATCCGCGTAAATAGCCATAGCATACCACCACTTGAAAAGTATTTTGACATACAGATCTTTTGTTCTGCTAGAATGGCGGGTGAAAGTAAACAAACAGACTTACAAATTCTCAACTCCAAATGCCAACATTAAATCATGCTTATGCTTATCGATAAAATCCACATGTTTATCCACATCTTTCTTCTTGAACGGCCATATCAAAGACTTCAGCTTTCCGATATGGTTTTGCTGTTTCGAAAAGGTATCGAGTTCCTTCTCGATGCCATCAAGCTCAGCCTTACAAAGCGACAAAGTTCCCGTTTTGTTTTCCAAGAGAGTTTGGATGTTGATTGAAAGAGTATGTGGCAGATCGTTAATAGACTTTAGTACGCTTTCGAGATTCTTGATCGAATGATAAAGCCGTTGTATGTCGTCGCGAGCACTTTTGACTCCCTCGTAGTATTCCATTAAAGCCCCACCAACAGCCTGCGCCAGTTGCACCACAGCGATAACGCTGGCAGCAGTACTCAGGCCGTCCATAGTTTTAGGGGTTGTGACGATAAAAGCAAATGCGTGATGTTTATATAAAAGAGATGAAATGAAAAGTATCTTTGGATCAAATCATCCAAGCTTTCTGTGTAGTAAATTGTCTGAATCGTTTTCATGAAATGAGGGGAAGGCTGAAGTGCTGGCTGCCCAAAGCCTCATGTTACCCATCTTTCGTTTGCTCACCAATAACGGCCGATGGGTAGACGCCCACCTGCCCAAAGTAGCATCTTACATCTCGAGAATACAAGGGTCAATGAAGCGTGGCAAAAGAAGATACATTTTGTTTTGAGTGACGTGTAAGTAAATGAGTGGTAAGATTGTTGCAGGTCAAATGTAGCTTTGAGGAGGGGAAATACATAGCATCTAATAAGTCTGTGCGTCAAGAAGTCTGAGGTTCAGAATTAACGTCACATGACCAGCATGTGATGACGAACCTACCATGTGAACTACCGGTGGCCCTGGAAGGTCTAGAATCGGAAGTGAGAAACTTCACAGCGATGTACCATATTGAAGATCTTTGAATTTGCAAATCACCTGAGCTCCCCTCACCCTTGCTCTTCTCCTCCCCTCCCTTTACAGTCTTCGGATAGATTGCCCACGCAATCCGATATTAGTGTAGGTTGTTCTTAGAGCTTAGAGGTTCTCGAGCGAACGATTATGCTGGTAATAGGTATAAAGTATTCCCTAAACTCTCGCCAACGCCTCACCAATCCCAAAGTCTATAAACTCACCACCCTCAATCTCCCTCCTAGCCCATTCCATCCTCTTATTCCATACCTCATCACTTTCATATGCATATTTCATTCCCTCCCAATCATTTTCCACCGCTCCTGCCATCCACCACAAGTGTTTCTCATGATCTGCTCTCCTCACCAACATCAAAAAATACCCAACTATACCCATCATCCTCATATCTTTCTCCCTTAACAATTCCACGAATCTCGGGGGTACCAATGCCGGGAATTTCAGAATAAATTTAGTGATCTCACCTCCGCCGAGGATATTCAGATATTTGGTGCAGATAGCATAGGTTTTATAATCCGGAGCATCAAGCGGTAAATCGTCGAGGAGAAAATTGAATGTCGTAGGATAATCGTTATCGGGGTCCGGCGACGTTTCATTTTGTAGAATGACCCTAAAATTGGCTTCTTCCCATTCAAAAAGTGTTCTCATGCCTTCGTTTTGAACATATGTTGCGGCTAAGTTTATCATATCCTTGAGACTTTTCATGGGGACGAACCAATGGAGTGGTACTCTACATGTTTCTCTGTGTCTTTCTGTATTGCTGCTGGACGAGAGCTCCGAATTATGAGGTTGATTGAGGAATTTTTGACTTCCTGCAGCATGATATGTGATGAACAAACATGACCCCAGAACTGCATCGGCTGTCTTCTCTGTAACACCCTCCTCGATGATTAATTTCCGATGTGTTGCGATAGCTAGTCCCATATAATGATGACTAGCTTTTATTACTTCTCTCTCTGATTTACTTTCAGGTATTGCACTGGTAGGAAAAGCGGAAGAGGATGATGAAAATGAACTCCGGAGATGAAATGCAGAAACGCCTAGTAAAGCTTCCATTACTGAACGATGACGACAAGCGAGCTGAATGACCCATAATGATATGTTGCATACAGAAAATAATTGAGGAACATCGGTGATATTTATGAAGTGTTGAAATAAGCGGAACTCAAGTGCTTCATCCTTTCCTGAGACGGTAGTGGAAATGGAGGTCGGGAAGTAGAAAGATATAGGATTGCGTGGAACAGGACGCGAGAAATGAGCATTTCGTTGCGTGACTGTCGCCGTAGTGGGTAGAGGTAACTTCTTTGTGGGAAGTGCTTGAAGCGCAGGATTATTGAGAGGTAAGAATAAATATTCACATTGTATGCTATGCCTCAGACAATTTGCACATATTGGTTTGGTTTCATCGCACTAGAGACGCCGTTAGAATTGTGGATTGGTGGTGTAATTGATCAAGAATGGGGGTCCAAACCTTCAATCGCCTTGTCTTACAGCTTTTGCACCCATACCTAGACTTTTTATGGGGTCGTCTTATCGCTTCTTTAGGATTTGAAGAAGCCATATTTGATTAGATGAAGTTGAGAAATGGACTAGAGATTGCAACCTCATTGTAAGGCGGCCAATGAAGGGGTGATGGATACGAGACACTAAACCACATCTTGAGCGGGGTTTCATTGGTGGATAAGAAGCCAAATGTGGAGAATGAGCGCTGTGGCTTCGTAAGCAATGAATCTAGAGGCCATATTGCAGAAAGCTGTAATCTCAAAATACTGGGAGCATTCTTGTCTTTCAATGGCACCTTGCAAATACATCCAGTATATATTAACGAGTTGCGATCCCATTCATCTCAGAAAGAACAGATCTGGTGGATGAACCCAGAGAGAAATCCATCCACACCTCCGAACAAAAAATCAAAGCGACCCTTCAAAATCATCTCTTCCTTCTCCGTGATAGAAAAAGTCTCAAAAGACCAGCACAACAAATAAAATGCACAAACAAATGCACCCCAGGACCTCCCAATCCCTTCACTCCTTTTCCGAATCCTTCTCCAGTTAAGATCCTCCCTCCAGCTCTAATAGCAGGAGCAACATGATACAACGATAAAGCACCAGCGACATTACGACTTGTCCTATCAACACGCCGCGAAGCGAATATAATTGAAATGAGACATGAAACGAAAAGTAGAGTCGCGTATTGTTGAATGATGGTGTGAGCTTGTGGTGCTGGGATGGAAAGTTGAGATGAAGGGTTGAGGAAGAAATTTAAGGAGGCGGGGATTTCGATGAGGGTGTGGAGGAAGAATGGGAGACGTTGGATGAGAGACATTGTTACTTGAAGCGTGGATATAGGAAATTGTGAGTATGTTGAAGGAAAATATTGATAGGCACTCAGTACACTTGATAGAAAATACAAAGAATCTTTCTGTGAAAGATATTATTAAGCGGAACTCCACCCACGGCGGAGACTAAGGTTAATTCGGTTTGATCCGAATTGAAGCGGGGCGTCAAATAGATCTACATTAACCCCGCGGACAATCAAACTACATATCACCACATGTATTATCAAATTTCCAGCTTCCTGCTTGAGTTGCAAATACTCCGAGATCGAGCCATGTATTGCTTTTATTCTCGAGATAGTAGACGCGACTCGGCAATGATTGATTTGAAAGAGGAAATGTCAAATAATGATTACATGATGTTTTGTAAATTATATCTAATACCGGGTATACCATATCACCGAGTTCACCACGAATCTTACATATAAAAAACATCTATATATGATTGTATGCTTTCCCTCTTTATGAACAGAATCTTCCTAAAATTGAATACATATTCCTCTTACTATTAATGTCATCAGTCTTAGTCGCATATTTCTACTACTGCCAAAGCACCTGAACGATAAATAGAAAAATGGGTTTGGTGTAATGTATATAACAATTGTGCCTACTCTTGCTCTTTACAGGCAGTCACCATATTGACAATATAAATATCGTTATTGTCAGTGCAGGCGATGCTGGTAGGACAGCTGCAATTGGCTTGAGACAGGCAGGCTATGAGGTTGTGCTACTGGATCGCATGCCGGCATTTGCCTCCGTAGGTGAACTTCCTTTATTCTACTCGCATTCTAATCATCTTCAATTAGGTCAGTTTGGGCATTCACCTTCCTCCCAATAGCTGTAAAGTACTCTAGCAGCTTGGTGCCTGGTGGTGTATTGTCAAACTTCGAAAATCGTGCAATTCCTATCGAGTATATCACGTCACGTTCATATGTGAATGGGAGCACTTTGAGGAGTATACCACTAGTTCCAGATAGTCTAGAGAAGTGTAAGGAACCATACGTTGCTAAATACAGAGCCGTATTCCATCATGCGTGGAAAAATATCCGCTTCTGTTGAGAGAGAAAAGTTCCTTTCCTCAACTGATTGCATAGTACCATCAGATATTTTATCGAGTCAAGACTCGACATGCCTTGTACTGGGTTCTTATGAGGCACAGTAAAGTTATTATCAAATGTTGTATCGTTGGCTAGTGCTTACATGCAACCCTCCAACATGTGCGTGACAAGAGCGTTACACACGCGTGTTACAAGCTCTAAAATACTCAAAAGTGATAATATTAAGAGTGCACTTATCTTATACTCTGTATAGACTAGCTTCGGATCAAGATGCATCTTATTTTACATTAAAAAGATTTAATGATTAAATGTTATTCCCTGAATTCACCATCCATCCAAGATTTACCGGAATATCGTCTGCATCTAGAGTCTGAGGTTCGTGTACTTACTTCTAGTCATTTACTTCACTTTTCCTACCTCTCTCTCAATTTCAACAACGGATTTCACACCACTAAATTTCAATTTACTTGAGTTCTTAAACATTTTCAACCAATTTGATCGATTTGCTATCTGCAGAGTTCAGTAGAAGAACGACAAATATGGATGCCATCGTTACTCAGATTCAGAAGCTGACCGCAAACGCGGATGAGGCTGCCCGCAAGAAGTTGATAGATACTTTGCAAACCCTCCAGTACAACATCGAGACTCCTTATGATACACTTCAGCGATTCGCAGGATTAGTGAGTGTCACCCAATCAGTTAGTATTGCAGCCACGATGTAGTTTTACTAATTTTGAAGCACCTTCAAATCTCCGCTGCTCGTATTGGTGTCGATCTAGGTATCTTTAATGCTATTCAGGAGAGCAAAGATCCGATCAGTGTCGAAACACTAGCTCTGAAGACAAAAGCGGCTCCAGAGCTCTTAGGTAAGGATACCCGTTCCCCGAAACGCTCAAAATCTCAAGCTTAATATCTCAAGGCCGTATCCTACGTTATCTAGCCTCAGTTGGACAAATTAAGGAGACTAGCAAGGACCACTTCAGCTCAAGCTCTACTACTCCTGTCCTGGCAGACAAGAACTATCAGGGTGGAATTCATCACTTGTAAGAGCTTCTCCTATCTTTAAGAAACCATCATCCCTGACTCGCCTTGTCTAGCTTCGATACCGTGGGACCTGTTCTACAGCAGCTGCCTGACTTCCTCGCCGAGACGAAGTATCAAGACATAACTGACAATAGCAAGACGGCCTTACAGCCAACTTTCAAAACTGATCTTCCGGGATTTATCTGGTTCCCAAAGCAACCTCAGCGCTTTGGTTACTTCCAGCAAGTCATGACAGTCCAGCGTGCTGGTGCTGTGACTTGGCTATCGGCTTTTCCATCCAGACAGGAGTTAGGAGACTTTCAAAACAAGCCCGTATTTGTTGACATTGGCGGTGGCTTTGGTCACCAGTGTATTGCAGTCAAGGAGACATTCCCAGAACTTTCTGGAAAGCTTGTGCTCCAGGACCTTCCCCAAACCCTGGAACACGTTCCTGAAATTAATGGCGTTGAGATTATTGTACACAACTTTTTTGAGCCACAGGTTATTAAAGGTATGTTTCAATCGGTGGTAAATTTACAACCCATTCTAATACATCCGTAATTACAGACGCTAAATTCTATTACCTCCGCAATATTTTACACGACTGGCCAGATGACAAGGCAGTTATCATCCTTAGAAACCTCATACCAGCTCTAGGTCCAGACTCACGCATTCTTATCGATGATATGGTACTCCCCAATGAGAATGTCCATTGGCAGGCAGCCCAATTGGACCTTACAATGATGTCCGCCCTTGGTTCAAAGGAACGTACCGAGGAGCAGTGGCGCTCTCTGATCGATGCCGCTGGCTTGAAAATCCTCAAGATCATTCCATATACCATGCCATTAAATGATTCCATCATTATGGTTGTTCCGAAGTAGGGCAGGGTACATATTACATGATACCTTTGCGTATTGCCTTAGCGTGTGAATCATCATTCAATCACTCTACAATTCTGCTTTGTACTCTTGACCAACAGTTTTCTATGATTCACAAGTATGCATGTAAGACCCAACATTGTGAGATCTTGTGACTGCGGATTATCTATGATGCGCTTAACTGTTCACAATGATTTACCCAGACAAATATTGTTGTTTACATGCACATCATTCCACACGCCAAGTGTCAATCGAAAACTAGAGGTTGTGGTTTTAATTCGGCTAGAACGATTGGTCGTAGTATAATATGAATCATCGAAGACGGCGATGAATAATATGCAACAGAAATTAATCCTATTCAAATTATAATCAGTATAGCAACGTCAACACCAAGCATGAACCTCGCTATATGAGATAGATGTCGACATTTGCCCTCAGAATAATATTTCCCTTCAAAAATCGCTATTGTAATAATTAAGATTTTTTGATTTTGAACTGAAAAGCAATTGTTTTGAAAAACAATCTAGATTTTAACGGGTTTAGTGGTGGTGTAATTCCTATTTCATTTAGCGCGTGAGGAATTAACTATCCTCATGAACTTACTAATATTCCATTAAAGCAACTTACATTACAGCAAAGACGGCGCAGGCGGCGCAGAAGATAGTAATAGCAGTTGTGGAGAAGCCCAGCAGTGGGGTTTTAATACCCTGAAAATCTGCGGAAGATCTTGTTGGTGATATTACAGTTAGCCCTGCCTAGTATCAATCGCTTCGGTTAAAGAGTAATCGGTGGCGCATTCATGCAGTCGGCCGAATTCATTTAGAAAATTACTTACTAACAATAATAAAGATCACGACTTTCAAAACCCTGACGAAGCGTTTCCAGACTAAGCAACAGTTGAACAGTAAGTCATACGCATGTAGAGCTCTATAGCTGTAGTAAGATTCTAGACTGTATCAATGACACTAGATTGGAGAGCCCGTTGGCATTTTGATACTTATATAGCTGGAAATAATTTACTGTATTTTTGATACCAGTTTTCAGAGTCGATACTTGTATATAAACTCGTCTTTTGCGAACAACGGAAGCAGAATCGAAGACTCATTGGTAGGATGGATGTGAGATGCTACGGATAAACTACATGAGCGAAAGACTAGATTATCAAATTAAAATTGGAGCTCTAATTGACGATTTACAAATTTTTCTATCCTACAGGACTTTCTCCTCGCTTCCCTGAGTTAAGGTTCTTCGCCAGTTAGCTGGGTAGGCTAATTTGATCCAACTTGAAAGCAAGCCATTCTGGAATATAAATCAGATGCATACTGTCCTTACTCATAAGCTAAGATGATTTGGTGGATTTGGTCTACAAAATAGTAACAAATATAATCTGAATTATTTCCTTCGGTTGGATACAACAAACAGTTACTTTAATGGACCCGCTATATAATCGTTACCTAGTAGGGGATAATGTAAAGGCTTACCAATGAAGGGGTATGGGGTAGGTTTCGCTAATTTGGCAATACTATTTGGTATTAAATCTTTACAATTAATCTTTAAAGTTATTATTTATTATTTTGAAAAGTGAAAAACTGCAAGAAGTGTCGGAAAATGAGTGTTGAGTAGTTCAAGAGCTATTAGTCCCGAACGAGACTAGTACGCGAGGTCTACGATAACCTCACTTCTCTCTACACTACCGATACCGCCCTACGAGACTAATGAGAATCACGCAAAATTCGGGGGACTTTTTGTCTGAAGATGAAGCCCTAAAAAACTCCATGCAATCAAATAGACATTGCAGAGCATGGGCCTTTAATCAATCTGGGCCAAATTTGTACTCCACAACAGTGAACTCCCTCTCGAGACCCCCTCAACGCACTGGCTAATCTGGCTCGAATATCTTGGTGTAAAAAACTCCTACACAATCCTTGCCATTTTCACAACATCCCCTTTCACTAAGCCACAGTATTGAATTTCTGTACCTTTATCATAGGATGCTAATGGATACCTGAACCGTTAGAGAGGTCATAAATATGGATAGACCAGCATTTGTTCTACAAGGAAATATCCCGGTTCTTTCTCATCTTCTCTGTAATAGAAGTACATCCTTCCTCTAGCCTGTAGGGTACTGCAGTCGAGCTATTGTATTTCAGCCAGTAACTATGAGAATTCCGTAATCCCTAGTGGCGTAGGCAAGCCCAAGCCACCTCGAATAGTTTCTTCCTTTGGCCTGCTTACTCTGTCATGTATGTCAAGGGAAGAATGTCGCAAGAGACAAGTCCTCGGTAGAATTAATTAATGAAGCTATGAATACGGCTGAAAAAAAGTTAAGTCTCAGCATGATGAGCTGTATTTGACTGATATACTTAATTTTTATACTATTCGCTGGAATTGTCGTTCTTGCATCATCAGCCCCGGCAGTAGCATTGAGGCCATTCATCAGTTCGATGCTCGAGCAGTCTGTGAGGATGAAAAAGCAATTAGTATCATTCAATACTAGTATTAGTGATACCCTACTTTCAATACTGGCAATGAGATCCGTCTCTATGCCTCTGTATGCTTATCGCCTACCTCCAATACCTACATCTGCCTCTGAATCGCCTGAATCATCACATCCTGTAATTATCACGGTAGCAATACCTAAGAAGTAGGCGTTGAACATATCATCATTCTGGGCTGAAACTTCCGATATGTAATTCTGACTCAAAAGACGTTTTGTGAGTGAACCCCCAGTGGTGGCAGATGGCACATAGCTCTCATAGAAATGGGAATCCACCTCTGGGCTAGAGATTGTATCCCGAACATGTATAGTAAATGCATCTGAGTAGGGCTAAGTTATGGATGCGATCCTCTTATCAAGTTTGTCTAGATAATGTCAAGCATCATTTGTTTTCGGGCTTCTCTGTTTTCCTATTTGAAAATGCGATATTTGTAAAGTTGATTTCTTCCTTGCAGTACGCGATTAACCTTTGGAAGGTTGGATCAGCACGTGATCAACTATCAACACATGTCAAAATTTCAGCCACTGCTGTTATCAAGCCACACCTGCATAAAATACCTATGGACGGGCGAGCTGGAGTGCAGGTGGACCTCAGACCTTGGAAAGCTTCGTGCGTGGATTGGCCTTATCTCCACCAAAATTCTGCCCTGTCCCTCCCTCAACATCATAATTGTCCTAACAAATGGTGTAGGGCTAGTTCGGAAGGACATCTCAACAAATGCAAGAGAAGCAGCTATCGGGAATCTATGTACAATAGGAGGTACCGAGTAATAAGCACGTGATAAGCACCTGGTAAGGTTCTCATACCATTATCAATACGTAGTAGTATCGTCGTATCAAAGGACCATCAGGACCTACCTACCCATGTGCATCAGGCTGGTTAGCTATTTTGATACATCTCACACACCAACCTCGGCTTTCCTTTTATCGTTTACCTCATCAATCGTGATATACCTGGTGTATACTACTCTACTTCCCTGCTTTACATCTGTTTTATCTGACGAGTATAAGCTGTTGAATGTCCTCACACAGTCACACTCTTTAGACACTTCTATGTTTTGTTCTAACATTACTCACTCGCTCAATAACATTCATCAATTTTGTCATTGGAATCTTTGATAAAATCTAAAATCATCCCACATCCACACTTCTCAACGATGTCAAACAACACAGAAGGGCAAGATGCCCAACAACAATCTGCTAATCAACATGGATTTGGAAACCTCAATCTTTCAATCGTTGGATTGGGAGTCGAATATCCTCCATTCTTACTGGAGCCTTCAGATTTAGATACTTTAACCAAACGTCACTATCCTGACTCTCCAGCGTAAGTTATCCCTTTCCCCCTCTCCTCTCAATCCCCTTCAGATTCTCAAATTCCAGCGCCCAATTATGTACGGAAATACACCTCATACCTCACACTAACCCTCAATTACCAGAATGAAAAAAGTCTGCACAATCAATAATTTTACCGGCATCGAAACCCGCTCCGCAATCGGTACCGTCGACCACCCCATGGCGAACATGGACCGCGCCCCCACAATCACCGAACTGTGTTCCATCTTCCTCAAAGATGGCGTTGCCCTCGCCGTAACCGCCTGTCGCAAAGCTCTCCACGAAGCCCATCTCCTCCCTTCCGACATCACCCACGTAGTCAGCACAACATGTACCAATAGCGCTAATCCCGGGTACGATCATTTCGTGTGCAAAGCTCTAGGAATAACACAACCGGTTGAAAAAGTTCTGCTCCATGGAATCGGATGTAGTGGTGGTTTGGCAAGTTTACGAACCGCGGCAAACTTAGCACTGGGACATAGTTTTCGAGGGAAAAAAGCAAGAGTTTTGGTCATGGCGTTGGAAATCAGTTCTTTATTGGTAAGAAGTGAATTGGATAGTGTACATGAATTGCAGGAGACGAGAATTGGTGTTACGCTCTTTAGCGATTGTGCGAGCGCGTGTGTGCTCAGTAATGGGATTGGTGGGACGGGAGAGGAGGAAAGTGTTTATGATTTGTTGGGCTGGGAACACAAGATGATTCCAGATACTGAACATGATCTAGGGTTTGATGTTGATCCGCTTGGTATGTTGATATTCCTTTTTCCGAGTCCTATACTTACACCGATTCCTTGTGTCACACTTTTGAACAAGAAACTAATTTCAATCCCCATGAAAAGGCTGGAAAGTAATCCTCTCTCCACGCGTCCCTAAACTAGCTGCCGAAGCCGTATCACCCAGCTACCATTCCCTGATTTCCAATCTCCCCTCCCTCCCCTCTGAATACCGCAGTCCCTCTGACTTCGACTGGGCACTCCACCCTGGCGGCGCCACCATTCTCACCGGCGTTGAAAAAGCCATGTCCATCTCCCCCGAACACATGCGGGCTTCCTACGATACCTACATGAAACACGGTAATTCCTCCAGTGCCACAATTTTTAGCGTTTTAGATCGTTTACGCTGTAAAGACATGGATGGTCTTACACCCAATAGCAGGGGACCCAAAGAAATGATCGTAGGATGTGCATTTGGTCCCGGTATCGCGGTGGAAATGTGCATGTTGAAGAGGAATTTACATCATGTGAAACGAAAGTGGGATGGCGGGGTACAGAGCGGGGTAGGTGGGGAAGTTACACCGCCTTTGACGGAGAGTGAGGGGACGAGGAGTGTGGGTGAGAGTGAGGGGGAGGTGGAAGTAGAGGATTTGCGGAAGGTAAAAGAGGAGGGGGAGAAGTTGGATCAGAAATTAAAGATGGTGGAGCCGGGGGTTTTGGAGCAGAATGCAAAGTTGGGGGAAGAGGGGAAGGGAAATGAGAATGAGACATTGGACAGTTTGGAAGAGGCGATGGATGGAGTTGGGCTGGATTGAGAGATGAGGAATAACCAATGTGGAAAATAATGATGATGGGGAGTTCGGATGATATATAAGATGCATGGGTAACGAAAAAGCTGATTGTGTTTTGGGGGTGGGGGCTAGCATGTCAGTCAGAGTCGAATTCAGAGTCAATGAATATTAGACTACAGACAGCGTGCAGATAGATAGATATCTTGAAATAGACTTCTTTACAGCGAGCGAGTATTTAAAATATTGTGAAGCGAAGTAGGTCTTTGGGACTATATTCATAGACATTAATAGTCGGCTCTTCCAAGCGGCCTCCTAGTTCCTAGTCGGAGAAAGCGATTGTCCCCGGAAAACAGTTGTCCTCAAAAAAACTTCGAAAATATTATGATAATTGAATTATATCAATTACAATCTTTATAAATTATGTAATTATTAATAAAATATTGATTCCTATTATTCATTTATTATATTTATTATAATAAATAAAATTAAAGTTAAATATAATAAGTTATATTGTTGAATTTAATAAGATTATAGTAATTCAATAATATCAAATCCATTATTATTTTTTTAAAAATTAAATAAAATCTTTATTAAATTTTTTTGGGACAATTGTTTTCCGGGGACAATCGCTTTCCCTGATTAGGAACTAGGAGGCCGCTTGAAAGAGCCGACTATTAGATTCGTTGGTTTAGTAGGGAGTATAGCGATGTTTATGATGGGTTGAGAGTATATTGATTAGTACCAGGTACTTATCCAGAGCATTATAGATGAAATTGGAGGGAATGGGATGAGGGAATGAGAGGAAGCAGTAGAAAATACATTGATTTTTATTCTCTCGAATTTATCTTTCTCTCTCTCTCTGTTTTACACAGATAAGTGCTAATAATATATCGAAATCCAACGTGAGGGTATTTCTATACTTGCTATCATTTCAATATCAATACACGCCATACAACTCATTCCACTGTAATAACTACTTTTCCTCCTTCCCCTCTCTCCCTAATCGAAAACAACCTTCTTTCCACTAAAAGTCGCCTTGGCCTTCTCATCCTTTGCCTTCTTGGCGGCCTCCCAACTAGGATGTAAAACTCCCACATCATCTCTCGTCTTGATCTTTTCTCTCGGTTTCACCTGCATCATATTCGCATTATTTTTATCATTTCTGAAATCGCCTCGTTTGCCTTTACTCAAGTCTCTAGCCTTTCGACCGCTCTTTTCCGCACGCTTCATTTCGCGTTCTTGTTCGACGGAGAGACCGCCCGCCGCAATGTGTTTTGCGCCTTTGCCGAATTTCTTCTCCCAGAGTGCTTGCCGGGCTTTTTGACCCATGCGGTTTTTGCGCACGACGGGCTTCATGTCGGTGTCGGAGAGGGAGGAGGCGGATTCGGAACCGGACCAGTAGCCGCCCATGAGGGTGGGGAGGAAGGTGCTGTTTTTAGTGGATTCTGTGGGGGTGGTGGTTGATTTTTTAGGCTTTTTGAGTTTGGGTTGGGGTTCTGGGGAGGGGGAGAGGGAGGGAGAAGGTTTGCGACGGGGGATTGATGTTTGGTCGTCTTCTGAGTCGGAGAGGGAGATTGAGGGAACGGGGGAAGGTGATCGTGATGGCGTTGGTGAGAGGGATAGGGAGAGGCGCGTATTTGATTTTGAGGTTGATGGATTTTTCTCCAAGTATTCTTTTTCGTCGAATGATTCTTCATCTGAGGATGCGCCTAATAGAGCGTCATATCTTGAAAGTGTTTCTTCGTCCATTGATTCGTTTCCTTCATTTTCATCATCATCTTCGGAATCGTCTTCGTCTTCGTCATCGCCAGGTGAATCAAACCCTTCCCAAGAATCCTCTTCATTCTTTTTCTTCGATAATTTTTGTATCGTGTTTTCCATATCGACATCATTATCTTCGCCCTTATCTTGCGCCGTCTGTTTCGAGTTCTTCTTCGAATCGTCCTTCACTTTCTCCTTAACCTTATCTTTACCCTTTTTCCCCTTATCCATAACCGGCGCTGGTATTCCCATACTCATATAACTCCCCCTAATTACTCCCTCCCAAACGCTCTTCACATTCTTAAAATTCCACATCCCACTGACAACATTATTCCAAATCTTCACATCTTCCTCTCCCTTTTCTCCCTCCCATCCCTTTACCCCTTCACCATTTTGTCCCCATCCAGGAGGTAGAAATCCACTCTCACTCATAACTTTTATTTTCCCCAGTCCTCTTGCCAATCGCTGTTCCGTTACTTTATCCAAATCCATTGTTTTCAACGCTTCAATTTCTTTTCGTATCCGCGCCATTTGCGCCGCATCGCTTGCTTTGGTCGCATTTGTCAATCGCTTCCCGAGTCGTTGTCTTTCAAATCCCTTTGCAGTTTTGAGTGCGCTGCGAAGTTGTTTGCGGGCGGAGATGAGATGGATATTGAAGTCATTTTGACGGGAATTGCGTACGCGGTCGGTGGGGGGAAGAGAATCGTCCTGATCGGCAGATGAGCGCTTACGTTTAGGCATTGTTTATTATGATAAAGGTAAATTGCGAAGGAATTGAGGTTTTCGATATGGGAAATATACACTGAAATTGAATTGGGTGAAATAAATAATTTTGGAGCGCAGAAAATTAGTGTAAGATGGAGAGCTCAAAATTATAGCAGGGGTCAGTTCACCGCTCTCGCTTCTGGGAAGGTCTTGGGCAGAATAAAAATGGTTTCATTCGCCAGTTCGGGAAGTGGGGGCTGCGCCGGGAAGTGGAGTGTAACGGTTGATGATTAGTGAGCAAACACCCTTCAATTGAACGATGTTATTGAGGGGCAATTAAGTATAAATAATAGCATGAACGGTTATCATATGTACTTTCTTTTATCTAACTACCGAATAAATCATTATTTAACCAGCAGGCTTTGAATTGCTCATATCATATCATACATATCATACCTCATCATACCAAATAACAACATGGCGACCTCATCAATCCAAGCAGCGAATTTATTCAATGTCAAAGGACTCGTGGCAGTCGTCACTGGCGGCGGGACTGGTATAGTTTCTCCAGATCGACTAGGTGCCTAGCTCTCTAACGTCAAATTCTAGGTATTGGTCTAATGATGACCCGTGCTCTCGCTCTTAACGGTGCCGAGAAAGTCTACATTATCGGTCGCCGAAAAGAAGTTCTTGAATCCGCTGCATCTTCCGTAGATACCGGCAATGTCATTCCAATCGTCGGTGATGTAACCGACAAAGCAGCCATAGCTTCCATCGTCTCGAAGATTGAGTCCGAAGTAGGATACATTAATGTTTTAATCGCCAATTCCGGTATTCCTGGCCCTCAGGCTACAAAACCCATTACTCCATCTTCTTCAGTATCTGAAGTTGCTTCCTCGTTGGGCAGTGCTAGTATGAAAGAAATGTTGAAGACTTTTGAGTTGAACACTGTAGCTGTTTTCTCTTGTATTATGGCTTTCTTGGATCTATTGGATAAAGGAAATAAGAAAGGCAATGTCGAGCAGAAGAGTCAAGTTGTTGCTACCAGTTCTATTGGTGGTTTCAATCGAAAATCCCCTGGTGGAATTATTTATGGCCAAAGTAAAGCTGCGACTACACATATGATGAAGCAACTAAGCACACAACTTGCACCGTATGATATTAGGTGTAATACTATTGCCCCCGGATGTAAGTTTCTAGAATCTTTCCAATGCAAATTCCTAAGGATAATACTAATCGAGTTTAGTATTCCCATCTGAAATGGCCGCCGGGCTCATTGGTGACGGAGTTTTTGGTAAGGATCAAATTCCATTACAGAGGGTAGGCACGGAAGAGGATATGGCAGGATGTATTCTCTTTTTGACATCAAGAGCTGGTGCTTATTGCACTCACGTAGTTATTGTGGTTGATGGAGGACGATTGAGCATCATGCCTAGTACTTGGTAGACTGGGTACAGACAAGATAAAGACGAGTGTGTTGGAAAATTTTGAAGGCCATTTTGGTGAAAGCAAACTTTTTGGGTCTTCTTGTAGGGCGATTGTAGTAGTGCCTGCAGGTTATTGCCGGAATTGGTTATCTCTCCAAACTCTTGTGTTTCATTAAAGAATGTCAAATATAAATACCTTTATTTCTCACAAGCCTCATCAGCAGCTGTCTCTCAATAGTACATCAGTAATATAATAATTCATGCTTCAGATAGTCGTGAGTGGCAAAATTATTATTTCAAGACAAAAAGAACTTCATGTGGAGTTATAATTAAGGGAAGAGTAATAAGAACACACATACAATTAAATTACTCATTCTCTCATCTACTTCTTCAGGACTTATCCTCACAGTTACTCTCACGATTTATAAGTCTAACAGTAGCAACATGCTTCTAATATGTCTCTCATCGTTCGAACGACTTACTGCATCACCATCATCTCGTGGAGAGAAAATAGCAGGAGTATTTACATTGATAGCTTATTTTTTTAATCTTACTATTGAATAACATTTAAACATTGTTTAACATTTTCAAGAAAGTTTCATTTGAAAATCACCTTCTGACATCAACAAACATATTGACAAGCGTATGAGAGAGATTAATATATTTGACTGATAAGTAGATTGAATAAGTCAGGCAGATCGATCCGAACGCGCCCTTATACTGTCCTTATGTGACTTCATCTAATATCGTCTCACTTAAATTGACCAAATTATATTCATATAACATTCAATAGATTTCCCAACAAGTTAAAGAGAAAGAGATTGTTGTGATACATAAATGAAAGCCTCTCTCAATTGCGCTGGATATACGACATTAGAAGTTTACCGTCAACATTTGACCGATGACCTCATATCGAGCAGTGAAAGGTACAAAAATAAGCCAGGGAACAAATGACTGAGTGAACAACGAGAAAAAAGCGAATGTGTGTTCAAACATTCCAGTTGATAGTAACAAGAACGAAACGATTAGAGAAATATAAGAAACAGTCGGCACATGCCTAGACGTGCAATCAATCCTTCGAGACCGCTCGAACTCGCCCGCGTTTAGTACCGTAAAAGTACTTCTGGCAACACATATATCGCAATTGGCAATGATGAAAAGACCGCGACGATCAAGGCAAAAGTGACAAAGAATGAGACTTGCAACAAAAAAAGGGCGTGTTCTTCCTGAAGTGCGTGTATTCATGATGTCGGTTACGTACGATTGTGCAGTGATTCACTACATACATCGTGATAGCTTCCAGCAAATGCCTTTGTCGAATTTAGAATAGTAGAT